AGAGTGTGTTGACATACTTCTCTAATCAGTGCAAATGCACAACCCTCTATAAGTTGTTAAACAACTCGTTCTAATGAAAACGTTATTAACACTAAAACTCTGTGCACGCTTTTAAGCCTAATCGGATGTCTCTTGCAGATCAAACCATATTTAAACTTTTTATTATTATTATCTCTGTTAGCTAAGCTTCAACCACAGTGGCTTTAGACCTTTAAACTAAGTTTGCTCATATAACCATTTGTTAGAGCAGGTGTATCATCAGATAAGATACTGGTGTACCCTATCTACAGAAGTTTAAATGGGACCATCTAATAAAATCTTCAGAAAAAAAACGAAAAATAATATTTGAGTGTAAGAAAGAATTCTCAGAACTCTGCTACAATGAGAAATCTAAATGAACAATGTTGATAACTGCTCTGGTTAATTAATATAAGACAGTACAATGTTGATAACTGCCCTGGTTAATTAATATTAGACAGTAAAATGTTGATAACTGTTCTGGTTAATTAATATAAGACAGTACAATGTTGATAACTGCTCTGGTTGATTAATATAAGACAGTACAATGTTGATAACTGCCCTGGTTAATTAATATAAGACAGTACAATGTTGATAACTGCTCTGGTTAATTAATATAAGACAGTACAATGTTGATAACTGCCCTGGTTAATTAATATAAGACAGTACAATGTTGATAACTGTCCTGGTTAATTAATATAAGACAGTACAATGTTGATAACTGCTCTGGTTAATTAATATAAGACAGTACAATGTTGATAACTGCCCTGGTTGATTAATATAAGACAGTACAATGTTGATAACTCCCTGGTTAATTAATATAAGAAAGTACAATGTTGATAACTCCTTGATTAATTAATATAAGACAGTACAATGTTGATAACTGCCCTGGTTAATCAGTATAAGACAATACAATGTTGATAACTGCCCTGGTTAATTAATATAAGACAGTACCGATGAGAAATAACTGCTCCCGATACATGAGTATAAAACATGATAAGCCGATAATCCACCTCGACAAAACAATTATTCTAATGAGATAATAAATTTTCCATTGTAGTTGATTAGTAGTGATGTGTTTTGGAGAACTGTTTTAAAGTAGTGTGTGCGTGAGGGTGGGGTGAGGGATTTCTTCTGGACCTCGTTATTCTTCTTTAGCTCGCTTGCATGAAGGGGAGATGTTGAAAAGGGCTGTCATATGAAACAGGATGCGATTGAAGAAAAATATGATGCCTAAAAAAATTTCGACTAACAGTTGTTATTTATTATCTAAATAAACGTATGTAGTCTTATAATTCAATTAGTAAATTTTAGTTTTAAATGTACATGTTTCGTAGCTTTATATAAGTTGAATCATGTGTACTGGAGTTTCGCGACATTTGTTTTTTTTGTGATTGAATAAGTTGGTAAACTAACCTTTAGGAAAAGGAAAAGACAAGATTAAAATGACAGATTGAAAATAAAACACAGCTATCAATTTCTCAGTATCACTGATATCTTGTATATGTATACTCAATAAATATTGAAACTGTCAGTTTACGAATTCGTTATTTATTATTTGTACGCCACTTTAATAACGACAATAAAATAAATTTTTTAACGCAGGATAGAAAAAAAAGACATTAAATACACGTAAAAAGAGAATATTACTACTTAACAGTTTCAAAATATAAAAAACAGTTGTTTTGTTAGTGAAAAACTACACAATGGTCTACCTGCACTCTGTTCGCCACAGAATATCGAACCATGGATGTTTGCGTTGTAATACCGTACACATACCGCTGACTCACAGAGGAACAATATAAAACAATTAACAATGAATAAAGCACTTCGATTTAAATATAAACTTTAAACGACAAGCGGTATTACACCACATTAACTGCTAATATTCTAAAAAAAAAAGTTTTTCCAAACGCTATCGTTTCTAAGCTCTGTAACTTACAAAGTTTATCATTAATGGGATTAAACTTAACATGAAATAATATTTTTTTTTATTTTGTTGTTGTTAAGGGTGTTAAAAGCAGCTAGAAAATTTGGCATTAAAGAAGTACATTAAGACAATAAATGTCTTAGGGTTACCAAACATGTCAAAGGTCTGACTTGCATAGAACCTTAACATTTTTTTGAATCGCAGTTGTAAATACAGCACTGGGAGTTAATACTCTGTTGTTTCACCTTATTTGGTATATTCACCCTGATATGTACCTTAAGCAATACATGGTCTAAATATTCAGGTCAATGTCACCTAGGATCAGGTTTAGCTGTCCCTAACTTTGAACTGTTGAAACAACAGGAGGGACAACCAGTCAGCACCACCCAGTGCACGGCTACTCTTAATCCAATAGGTGGATGATTAACTGTTACTTTTATAACACACCAACAGCTGAAAGTGTAAAGCACGTTCAGCGGTATATCGCAGGCTCGAAGCTTGGACCACATACCAGCACGCTAACCATTAAGCCACACTTAACTCCCATTGTTATTTTATTATTTAACATTTAAGATCAATTTATGGTAAAAGTATAATAACACGTAGCTCTGATCTAAAAATATGACGCACAATACTTCAAGAGAACCAATAAATCTATAAAAATATAATAGTACTGTCTGTTGTATGTCCATGTAACTACTTCGCAGGATGTGGATGGATCTTCACCAAATTTGGTATGGAGGTTCATTAGGTCCATGGGGAGATACATACAAAGTTTCAGTTTTGCATTTTGCGGTTTTTATAGGCAATTTTGCGTTTTCTACCACTACCTCCCCTCCTGTGGATGGATCTTAACCAAATTTGGTATGGAAGTTTGTTGGATCCATGCGGAAATACCCGCAAATTTGCGGTTTCACAATATATGTTTTAAAGTTTTATGTCGTTTTTGTGTTTTTTACAACAACATTGTTAATTGAAGAGATTCTTGTCAACCTTTTCAAAACTAGTGTAACTTTTCAGAACATTCTGTTGCATGAGTATTAATTATTTGATTAAATAAAAATATTTTAAGTACGACAGAACTACCAACATATTACTTTTTCTAAAACAACTCAAATCTTTTCTAACGGATATTTTTAATATGTATTTTTAGTGAATATTTCAAAGATGATCGTTTTTAAGCTCACGTGACTTTCTTACAGACTATACGACACTACTCAGAAACTTAATTGTAAACTCCAGCGAGTCATCATTATTACTTAAGTTTGTCTTTATAGTGAAAAGAACTTTGGAAAGTTCTCTTTTTGTGTCATAGATATACCGAACAAAACAAGTTTACGTACTTTTGACTGTCTTCTGTAAATATATATATATATATTTTCTTAAAATGGCATTGAATTTGTATTTATGGCAAAGCTAGTAAGGCCTATCTGCTGCCGTTCCTAACTTTGAACTACTGAACACCACCCACGCCAAGGAACTGACTATCTTCTACAACTTAAAATGCAGGAAATATTTTGTGATATCGCAGGTATTCGAACCCGACTCACTAGCTCCAAAGTCCAGAACTCCACCACAGAGCCAATTTGCTCACAACGAAAATAATATTAATAACAAAATTACAAATATCTAAATCTTTAAGAACTGATCTATAGATTTTCTTATTGTATTTCATGTATGTATATATATCTAATTGTGAACAAATACTACCAAGTTATGAAACACTGAAATACACGATTAAACACTTGTTAAAATCTAAAGTTAAAACTAATATATAAGACTTGTCATTAGTAAAAACACTAACTGGTGTCGAAAGTTATGTTTTTAAAATAACCTAAATTTCTAACATATTTTAGTAATACATATCGCAGTGTCGTCTGGCTTTTTGGTTATGCTGACCTTGTATTTGTCAGTCATTTATAAAAAGCAGTGATTTTTTTACTAAAATATAAAACTATGTATAAATCACTGATTAATGAAATAGGCATTATTTTCATAATTTTCTATAGAATAATTCAAACACTAGATTTCAATTACGTCACTTCATTAAAACATAAATTCAGTCATAAATTTGTTTCATTAAATAAATGGTTATTTTCAGAAATAATTCCTTAGAAGGAAACTGAGTTTGTTTTTTTCCTTATGTCCAAATTTTAGTAATAAAAATATTTTCTCGTGAAAATACTAAGTAGACAATGTTCTTCCAATGTTTTCAGTATTCTGATTTTGTATTTGTCAGTTATCTATGAAAAATGTTGATTTCTTACTAAAAAATAAAAAATACACAACCATAGTTAAAACACTGTGTTTTTGTATATATATATATATATATGCATAAATTTTATGCGCTTGACGGTTAGGGATCTTAACTTATAAGCCTGATTAATCATGATCAAGCTTAAATCTTTTAAGCCTAAAACACGTATATCTTGAAAATTCTACTAGTTTATTAATCATTTGAAAAGCATGTTTTAATAAAAGTTAAATACGTCGGCGATGACTTTAAATGATATTTAGAAACACCATGAATAAAAAATCAAACACAAATTTTGATTAAATTAAATGCCTCTAAATTTCAAGCTTTCAAGTAGATTCAAAATACCAAATTATTGTTTGCAAAGTAAACGTTATGGTAGTTTAATACGAATGTTGAACACCTATTCGTCCGATTTTTGTTTAAACAACATCATTAAGTCCATAAACTTATGAATTCGGAATTGTTCGATGATTTTGCACGTTCATACATGTCGAACCCTCACAACTAAATAGTTTCCATTATTTGAACTCCGATATTCTTGTGTAACACTGCCCTTCAAAGAATTTACTCATTGCTGCGCGTGCATATGTATGAATAACACTTTTTTTTTCTTTTAAACTCATTTTCCTAAAAATAATAACATGGTTACCTACTCATGTGTACATGTGTGGGCTCGGTAATTTCAGTTCAATTAATTCAGCTTAGTGATAAACATCCCTCGGGAACTCGTATTCACAGAGCAGGAAAATTCCTTTGTGAAACGATCATTATTCTAAATGTATATTCTACACCTACCTCCTGTAATGTTTGTTTTTCCGCCTCCACCCTTCTTCTCGATAGCTTTGAAGTTCCGCACAGGAGCCAAAGAAGATGGACCTAACCTAACACCTGTTTACCGTTCGATCAGATTCCATTAGGCTTAAGAACCATGTTGTTTTAGTCTCTCCTGTAGATTTTCTTTTCTCTATTTGTCAGAATATACAATATAAAGGGGTCAGCTGTTGTACTAGGCGCGAAGTCGTGATGATAATCTCCCTTCCCAGCAGTATTCCTTGCGTCTTGGTCCTGCTGTTGCTACAGGACTGTTATAATATCCCTGCAAGCAGCAAGTATACCTTATCGGCTCTCTCATCTCTAATATTGACCACTGGAGGCGCCACTGTACTACAAAATGGGTGACGCGTTCATCTAGCAGCCGGGGCGGGCGAGCTGAATAGCTTTGATTCTGTTTAAATTGATTTTCTCCCTTAGCTACGTACCGATTTTGCTCATCGTTGAACGTTCAGTTCTGCTCTAATCTTCGTAGCAACGGGGGAAAATTAGAGCAGTAATTCCACCTTCAACAGAACACTACTGTTGCTAAGGTTTTGTTGTTGTTTTGTTTTGTTTTTCAGCATATTTCTCGAAAGAGCTTAAAGCAACAGTTAACATGAAATGAGTTCTGGAAAAATACTAGTTCAGAATCATGTTATTGCTTAATCGATAAACACACGTGTTTAGCTGCATACTTCGTTTTGTAGTTCAGTTGGCACGTGCGCTTTTGATTCAATGATTGAACCTAATCAAGTACAAAAAAAATCAAGTTTTGAAAAGTTAATGAAAGTTCTCTTGTTACTCATTATTCATATGAAAATCCACAACAGCTAAAAGTTAGTACAGTTTGTTTTAATGATGAAAGAAAAAAACAGGGTCAATATACGTTATTAAACTGACAACAACAACAACAAACAGTCTTCTGTAAATAACACACATCAGTAGTTTTATTACGCAATCTTTCGGTCAAATATAACTTAATGAAATTCTAAATACTTAGAATAATAAAAATTCAGAAATTTGACATGAAATGTTTTCCAATGGATTTTATATACTTTTAAATACTTTAAATAATATTGATAAACAATTGCTAGGTATAGCTACCAACAACAGAAGTTGCTAGGTGTTGGTGTACAGTAAAATATATAAAATAGCCTTACATACATAACAATTCTATACAACAAACAATGATGATTAATCGCTTCTAATTAGTATTCGACTAATTAGAAAAAAAACACTTACACAATAAAAAAATGTAAATAGGTTGTCAGTGTACTGTAGGTTTGTTAAATCATATACCAGACTTTTTGTTACAAAAAATATGATTAAACGTCATAATTAAACTCCAAGTTCCTTTCATCACTTTCTTCTTGACTGACTCATTACGGGTTAAATATTCCATTCAAGTATTTTTTTTTACAGAAAATCCAGACACGCTGTAGCTTAAGTATGTGGCTTAGTCACACTTCTACACTTCTTCCATGTTACTGACAAGTTTCGATTTTTTAGTTTTTAGGGCTGAATTATTACGAACTTTTCGAAATCATTTTCTTAGTACTTTTAAATGGAGATCTGAAAATTTGAAAAAAAAATATTGAATTGTAGCAGGGAACACAACTCTTTCTGCAGCATATATGACTTAATTGAACAATGATAAATATTTATCCTTTCTCATGAAATAGAGTGGGGTTTCAAAGTGTCAGTTACTCGAACTTTGTGGAAAAGAAGAGAAGTATATGTGAAGAAAGACTCTCAATACATCTCTGAAATATACTATTGCATCAAATATAATTTCAGTTCACGATTTATTTTAACGTAATTGGTGTAAAGTGTTTTCTTATTCCTCTGCCATGTCACGTTATTACATAAACCAACTTTAAACCCTGCTTCAACAGCATTTGCTCACAAGAATGTTTATTATTCAAAAGATTCATTACCAATATATTTTATACAGTTCACAGAATATATACACACATTCTGTTTTGTTTGACTTGAATGTTTTTCCAGTTTTAATAAAAAGCAACTGAAAATCATTATGTTTTCAGTATTGCTTGATAACCCGAAATTATTCAGTGCTGTACACATAGAAAGCCATTCACATCAGCGCACTGTATCAAGTTTACGTAGTTAAAATTACGAGGGCATCTTTTCAACAGTTAGCACGATAAAACAATTACAGTAAACGATATTTCTATTCATGACATCTATCCCCCGGTGGGTCAACGATGAGTTTATGGACTTACAACGCTAAAATCCGGGGTTAGATTCCCCGCGGTGGACACAGCAGATAACCCAATGTGGCTTTGTTCTAAAATAACTAACCAACTAACTTTAGGACATATGTTGAATATTTATAAATGATCTGAAATCATTATTGAAGCACGTCTTATGCTTTTCGTTCTCTGTTGACGAGAGTATCTCATCCTCCTTTTGTATTTGTTTGTGTGTTCAAACAGTCTACCTTCACATTCGTCTTATTGTACATGTTTCTAATGCTCGATGATTTGGATTTATGAGTTAGGTTTGTTTACTGCTCGACTTTTACAGTAACTCAATTTTGCGATAGACAAGTCAGAAGCAATATCAAAACTTGCATGCTTAAATTGACTTTTGTTGTTTTCTTGAACATAGAAGTATCGTATTGTTCACGGTCTTTGGATTATTCACTAAGAACCATGACAACAAGATGCTTTACGTCTCAAAGCAATTATCCATCACTAGTTGTTCGTGTATTTGTAGAAATCGTACTCCAGGCTTCGCCAGTTGTGCTACTGACAAGTAGTAAGGGCTTACTAATAATTGGGTTTTCACCGCTTCGCTGATTATGTTGCATGCAGTAGGAAAGAACGTAGAAAATTTGTATTCATAATAAAACTAAATTCATCCATTGCTTTTAACATCTTACAATTGAAGTTTTTAATCAATGTTTAAATGTTATCCGTAACATGATCTCTCGTACAAATCTTAAGGCGGTTTACAAGCGTGTACTAATATTCATATTAAGCAATGAAGAAAATAAATTTCACATTTTTACAGAATCACTCTTACCTAATTACCATACGTCAAATTGAAGTTGGTAGCTGTTTTTTCAGTTCGCTAACACGGTCGTAGACAGCAAACACGCTGTATAACAGGTGTTACCTATTGTACCATCGTTCACGTGTCAAGATACCCTCGCCAATGTACATACAAGGTTAGTAAATCATGATATTTGGTAACTTAATAAGATGTAGAATACATCACAACATTTAATATGTTTTGTTTTTATTTACGATAATTTAACTTTTACTTATAAAAGTAGTCTTAAATCTTTGACTTAGGCCTAGTGACCTGACGTATGTGATTCGTTACGCCCTGTACGTTAAGTGGAAGACGCTCCCTACAGCTATACGTGTCCTTTGTTTTCTACTTGAACTTGGAAGGCCCAACTAATTGCAGAAAATTTCAAAACTTACATTTAAAATGAAACTTTAAGGGCAAAACCACATGAATGATTTTTTCCTAGGCGATTTTTGTTCGCTAAATATTCACCCGAATGCACTCACTGCTTGAGATGTGTTAAACTTAAACCAGATGAGCGTTGTTGCGACGGTTTATTTATTTGTACACGCTAGGATGCGAATTCTGAACGAAACATGTAAACTGTAGGTTGCATGAGCACCAATATTTTAGATGGAGAAACGACACGGTCTAATATTACTCGCTTTCCTTCAGTTCAGTGAAGGCAGCTGAATGAGTTATATTGATGAAATAAGTTGATGTTGAAAGATTGAAGTTCAAATAGTTCTGTTATGTATGTCATGTCCTTAGCGAACTACTGCCATAAAAAAGCGAAATACTGGGAAGAATTGTGTGAAATCGTCAGTCATAACTGGAGTGTTTGTTTGTTTGAATTTCGCGCAAAGCTACTAGCGGGCTATCTGCGCTAGCCGTCCCTAATTTAGCAGTGATACACTAGAGAGAAGGCAGCTAGTGAGCACCACCCACTGCTAACCATAACTGGTGTGAAGTTATTCAACAACAGAAGAATGGCAGGGGTAAGTTTCAACATTACGGATTATTTTTGCTATAAAATGTGTGTACAAAACTGAACGAATGATGATATGCTAATAAAAACAACAACAACAACGTATAGTTATATATACGATAATATATTCATGTTGATAAAAATCGTAATAAAGTGAAATTAATTTAAGACGTTGTACAACTTACAAGTACATTACAATTTACAGTGGAGCCTTGAACTCGAAATACCAAAGTCAATGTGAACAAATAAACAAAGTAAACAAGGGATATAAACGAAGAACTGGTCTCACATATTAAACTAACGGGTAAATGCATTAGTTTAATATTTTCCACAATTCTTATTTATGAAACCACATTCATTTAAATTTTATCGTACTGCCGCTGAACACTGCCTCGAGAAGGTGTGAAATGTTGTGTTAAATTCTCTCTAATTTTAATCCCATTTGAGACGCCAACCATGCTTCTGGCAAGTACGTGGGGGAGGGGACAAGAACTGGCGAGCGAACGAGGCGAGAAAGTTATTGTTAGCCGCCTATGTTGGCAGGTGCACTATCCAAGGGGAGTTGTCAGTACATTCTAAATTGATCGAATCCTGTCCCTTCTCTGTATAAATGCAGTGTATTTTTATTACATCATCTGCAAAGACAGGCTGTACCTCAATGGCTCTGTGAAAATGTTTTCATATATTTTAAAGTATTCTAAGGGCACGTTCAACAATATGTCTGTCTCTTGGTAGACGACAATTGAATTCGTGATTTACATTTGTCAAGTTCTTATTAGGAAAGCCCGGCATGGCCAGGTGGATAAGGCGCTCGACTCACAATCTGAGGGTC